CTGAACATGTGTTTTGGAAAGAATTTCTGAGCTGTCCTGGCATAAATAGATTCTTGAATTTGCTTAGTTTGGTCAGTGAAAACCGCTGTCAGCAAGTGCTTTATATTGCTACTTCCTGAGAGGGTCTTACAGACATCACACAGAGCTTAAAAAAAAAAAAAATGCAAGTACCAGCCACAGGTGAGCTTGGATTTCTATAGTGATGTAAGTTCCCTTTCTGGGCCACAGAGCTATTGCTCCACAGAGCTATTGGAGTGTGTAGTAATGTTCCCCACTTCCAGAATTTGGACTTTGTAAGCTTTTAGAGCTCAGCATGCATGAGGAGGAAAACACAGGGGGGCTTCTTCTATAAGGGATCTCTCACAAGGTTAATCTAACAGCTGGGTCTTTATTGCAGGGCAAATAGCCCCAGGCCCAGAGCTTCTTGAGACTTGTCAATGCCAGGGATGGTAATCAGAGTTATGCTAATGAATCACCCAAACAATACCAAGATTTAATTATGTTTTTCTCTGTTTGAAAAGGTAAATACAAGCCAGCAGAGCTAGGGAAGCTAAGGCCGAGGAGGATCACAGGTTCAAAGCCCTCCTCCCTAACTTAGAGAAGACCCTATCTCAAAATACAAAATAAAAAGGGCTGGGGATGTGGGTTAAGTGCCCCTGGGTTCAATCCCTGGTACCAAAAAAATAAATCAAATAAATAAATGGTATAAGATTTAAAAAAAAAAAAAAGGTAAATACATAATACATGTGGAAGATTTCAGTGAAAATTGTTAAGGTTTAAAATTCTTCTATTACATGTTTATTCAGTTCCCATCTTCTAGAAAGCCCAGCATGTAGAGTTGGGTAAATGGGATGCATTCTCCACATACCCCGTGTCTTCTGGTGGCTTTCACAAGTGACCTGCTTCTTTGGGCTCATCATCCTCATTGTCACCTCTCCCATCAGGATGACAACTGGGGCGAGACCACCACAGCCATCACGGGCACCTCGGAGCACAGCATATCCCAAGAGGACATTGCCAGGATCAGCAAGGACATGGAGGACAGCGTGGGGCTGGATTGTAAACGTTACCTGGGCCTCACCATCGCCTCGTTTCTGGGACTCCTAGTTTTCCTCACCCCCATTGCCTTCATCCTGTTACCCCCGATCCTGTGGAGGGACGAGCTGGAACCTTGTGGCACCATCTGCGAGGGACTCTTTATCTCCGTGTCGTTCAAACTCCTCATTCTGCTCATAGGAACCTGGGCCCTTTTCTTCCGCAAGCAGAGAGCCGACGTGCCACGGGTGTTTGTGTTCCGAGCCCTGTTACTGGTCCTCATCTTCCTCTTTGTGGTTTCCTATTGGCTTTTTTATGGAGTCCGTATTTTGGACTCTCGGGACCGAAACTACCAGGGCATTGTGCAATACGCCGTCTCCCTCGTGGATGCCCTCCTCTTCATCCATTACCTGGCCATCGTCCTGTTGGAGCTCCGGCAGCTGCAGCCCATGTTCACGCTGCAGGTGGTCCGCTCCACTGATGGAGAGTCCCGGTTCTACAGCTTGGGACACCTGAGGTAAGGGCAGGGGGCAGAAAGGCCAACTGGTATCCCTGGAAGATAGCTGGTCGTCAGTGTGACAGATGCACGTGCCAGGACCAGGGCTGGATTCCTTTCTGGTTTGGAGGAGGAGCTGTGTGCATGAACCTGTGTGTAGGTAGTGGGGGTGTCTATGTGCATCGGTTATCTGGACTTTTGGATGGGGCCAGCCAAGTCAGGTTTTGTTTTAGTTGACTTTTTCACTGCTGCAACTAAAAGATCCAACCAGAATGATTTTAAAGGAGTAAGTTTATTTGGAGAGGGGAGGCTCACGGTTTCAGAGGTCCCAGTCCATAGACAGCTGGCTCCATTCCTTGGGACTCAAGGTGAGACAGAACATCATGATGGAAGAGGGTAGTGGAGGGAAGCAGCTTACACGATGATCCGGAAGCAGAGAGAGACTCCATGCCCCAGTCAGCCATTTCCTCCAGCCATACACCACTTGCCTCCAGTTACCACTCAGTTAATTTCTATTAGGGGATTAATTCACTGATTGGTTTAAGGTTCTCATAACCCACTCATTTCCCCTCTGAATGTTCTTTCATTGTCTCACACATGAACTTCTTTGGGAAGATCTCAATCCAAATCCTATCAGGTTTTGTCAGGACTATTCTCAAATCTTGTTGCCAGCTTCCTAAAGTGGTGCAGAAAGGGTGTGCCTAGTGATGCCTTGAACATGAAGTTGTCTTCTGGGCAGTGCATAAAGTGACTATTAATTCCATTTTGCCCCAAATGGTTCATCTGATTTACTGTGGTATTCCAGTGGAATTACTAATCATTCCTCCCTCCTTTTTTTTCTTTTACTCTCAGAGATATCCTGGTTTGGGCAGTAAATTATATGGTCACACTACTGATCCTCCAATAAAGAATCAAACACAGGTTAAAGACTCCCAGATGTGTACGGATTGAGTGTTTTGAAAATATATTCATGAGAAAAAGTTAGAAATCAACTGGGGTGTCATAGTTTAAGCCTCTGCATAAAAATCCCATTATTTTGGGTTAGCTACAAGAGTGAGAATCATCATTTATTTTATAGATAAATAAAGGTAAGCACTTCATATAAATTTAGTCTTCACAGAACCTGTGATACAGGTATTGTCAATCCCATGGTTGCAGATAAACTGAGGTTTAGGAAATTTAAGTAATTTGTACAAAATAATATGGCTAGTCTTGTTTAGAATTCACTCAGATGTCACGGCTGAGTTCATGTCCCATTGTGGCATCTCTCACTTGGTGTTAGGAGCTTATTTTTCCTCCACAATGAACTCTCTGAGGACAGGACCTGGTTCTTACTCTCCTGGGGTCTTCAGTGCCCAGCGTGGAGCATGGCACATGCTCAGATGGTCCCTGGGATGTTTGACTTGAAGCTTCTCACTCCTCAGGCCCTTCTGACTCCTGGACAGAATGTGCTGATGTGTGTGATCTGCAGTAGTGAAGCTGGCCAAGTGGCCAAGGTCAGCAAGGGCATCTTGGTGAGAAAACAGAACAATTGGCTTTGTTTTGGCTAGAGTTTTGGCTAGAGCCCAGGCGGGTGGCTCAGCCCCTGTTTGGAGTCAGGTCACACTTAAGCCATTGAGTTGGCAGTCACCTCTTTCATTCCTTTGGTTCTGCTCCTACCACCCGGAGGACTGGGTGACTTAGCGTTCAAGGTTACTTGCCACCCTAATGGATCCTCAGAGGGAACTGGTGTCTGATTCACATGCTCTGCACACCACATATGGTGTTTTGAGGGTCTTGAAGATGCCTGTGTGGCTCTGAAGGCAAATAAGTCACTGCTATATATTAATCTCAGTTTTCTTTCCATTTTGGAAAATGACCCAAAGATTTGTGGTAAGTACTTCTGTGTGCAGAGCCCAGAACCTGGGTGACTGCCTGCTTTGTGTCAGGACTCTTGGGGTTTGCAGTCATTTGGAGAGAGACCAATAATACTGCTCTGTGGCAGATAGTTGATGAAATAGGCCTATAGACAGGTGACGGGGACAATGGATAGGAGATCTCAGACAGTGGCAGTGACCAAGACCAGCAGGGAACAGTACGTCCCAGGACAGGATTTAGAGAAGTTAAGGCAAATGGTGAGACATCCAGCTGTGGGCACAGTGGAGATAGGTAGTATTTGGAACTGCTTGTGAATGTGAGCAGCCAGTGCACTGGCCAGGAGTGGGACCTACCAGAGTTTGGGTTTTTGGCCTTCATTGCTCGTTGGTGCCAATCTTACCTGTGATAGGGAGAGTGATACCTTTCTCACACCCAGGGTACTTTGTCTGACTTCCCCCTCCATGGGTACTCAAGTCCTGTAAGTCTGGTCAATCTGATCTGCACTCCCCATCTGAGTCGCATCGAGGGGAACAAATCAAACAGCCCCCCCAAATGTCATAACTGGTGGCAGTCCTGGCATCTCACACACAGCTCTACTGGTCAGAACAAGGAGGAGAAGCCACATCAGTGGTGCTGCAGGGCCCGCAGGCTTGCTGCAAACCTCAGTCTGCTCTCACTGTGACCAAGTACTGCCTGTCTTTACTTTCTAAACCAAAGCCAGACACCCCAGCTCCCCAGGGAGACTTGGGCGTTGGCTAATGTCCAGCCGCTGAGGTGGGGAGAACGTTTGGAATGGTTCTCGGTATCTTCTTTTCGGCCCTTCTTCCTCTTCCTGCCCTGTGTCCAGCCCCCTTTGTCCTTCCTGTGGAGACCCTGAATTATGAGGTGGAAAAATTGGCTGGGGAAGGAGAGATGTCTTTCCTCCCAATTAGAGCCCTCAGCGGGGTTGGATGACCTGTGACAGGCAGTCTGCAAGGGCTGGAGCAGAGTTGGCATTTCTCCTGGCACCGTGTGGGCCTGGTCACCCGCCGATCCTTGGGCTAAATCCGATCCAAACCCAGCAGTGGCTGAAAGAGTCACTGGGCTGGAAATATAACTTCTAAGCCTTTTTTATAAAGTGTAGAGACAGGAGGAAAGGCACATGGGAATGCACAAAAGCCAGCCTCAGACATCAGAATAGCAGGTCTTCATCAGACCTGACCAGAATGACAGGCCGTTCCATTTTCCCTTTATGCAAAGCCTATGCTGCACCAGCAACCTACTGGGCTTAGGTGCAGAGTGATGGGGAGTTCTTTTTTCCCGTTTTCAAAGATGGTTTCATTGAATGCACCGAGCTATTTTTGAAAGTTGTCAAAAGAATGCCTACTCTTTAGTTTGTTTTTTTTTTTTAAGGAAAATAGGCTTCTTGTTAATTCTCATAAAAAGCACTTGCTGTGGCCCAGCTTGTTGGCAAGAATAGAATTTGGGGCTTATTTGAAAACTTTTTTTAAAATGCAAAAGGTTATTGTTATACCATATATAATGCCCCACAAATAGATCAAGAGACTTCCTAACCTTCCCCTGGTGCCTTAGAAGTTACAGGAGCTTTTCATACCTTTGGTCTTAATTTACCCCACCTCAGGAGTCAGAGCAAGTTGGGTATAGTGTCTCCCTATTGCAGTTGAGAACCTGCTCTCCAGGTTAAGGGACCTGCTCAAGGTCACAAGGAGCCAGCGCCTTGCTGGGCATCACACCCCCGGACTTTCTAGAGGACTCTGAGCTCTTGGCGTCGTTGGTTCACAATTCTCCGCACACATCCCACAGGTCTTGCGCCATTCTCACCATGGTTTGCTAACTTTTCTGCCATTTCAAGAGGGACAAGTGAATTTCAATCTGACTGTATTTGAAGAGAAACCCAGATGAATAGAGAAAAGAGACTAAAAATGATGTGTAATTATACTTTTTTTTCCTTTTTTTATTGGTTGTTCAAAACATTACACAGTTCTTGATATATCATATTTCACACTTTGATTCAAGTGGGTTATGAACTCCCATTTTTACCCCATATACAGATTGCAGAATCACATCAGTTACACTTCCATTGATTTACTTATTGACATACTCATGTCTGTTGTACTCGGCTGCCTTTCCTATCCTCTATGTAATTATACTTATTAAGAATTTCTCAGCTTTGAAATCTTTCAAGGAAAGTACTGTGAACGTTGGAATGTCGACACTGGTGTCATTGCTTGAACGCGAGGTGGAGAACAACAGAGATAAAGAAAACCTCAACAGTGACTGACCGCATGGTTCTGACTCTGCCAGGAGGCTTCTCCGCTCCTAACATACCACTCGATCTTCACAACAATCCCGAGGGGGAGGCACTGTTATCCTCATTTTTAATGAGGAAACGGAGACATGGAGAGTTAAGCAAGTTCGTAATGGAGGAGCCAGATTTTGAGCCCTCGGTGATCTGGCTGCAGAATGATCTTAAGCGCTCACCATTCTGCCTCTGAATGGAGGGCTCATCTTCACACCATGGCACATGAGCAAGCTCTGGTAGCACTGTTGGTGAGCACGTGGTAGCACTGTTGGAGTGTTACTGTGTCCCAAGCTGGGTAACTAGCTGTTGGACACATTTTCATTTTTTCATTCAACTTTTAGCTTCAGGGCTGGAGTGGACAGAATGAAGAGATAGGGCTTTTTTTTTTTTTAAATAGTTGTAGGTGGACAGCATGCCTTTATTTGTTTTTAATTTTATGTGATGCTGAGGATTGAACCCAGTGCCTCCCATGGGCCAGGCAAGCATTGTGCCACTGAGCGACAGCCCCAGCCCCAGCCCTGGCCAGACCTTTTTGCACTCTGCTTCACATTGTCTCAGGAAGACATCTTACCCTTTGCTATGTAACAACTACCTCACAATGTAAAAGCTTAAACCAACCCCCGTTTTATTATTTCTCGTGTTCTGCAATGTGGATTGGGCTCAGCCAGGAGGCTCTTCTGCGGTTGTCTTGCTGGTGGTCCCTGTGTAGTTGAGTCAGCTGGGCCGGGCTTCTTTTCCTATCCTGCATTGTGAGGGGCTTTCCTCTCCCTATGGCCTCTCTTTGTTGTTTCTACATTAGGATATTCACACTTCTGAAAGGGCAGCTCAGGGTTCCCACTAGCATAACTCAGAGGCTTCCAGG